ACTGTGCTTTGCTTCTCAAAGCTTTATACACTTAATCGTCCAAATATTGTATTTAAAAGAAATCAGAAGAAACATCGGTGTAATATTGACGGTTTTTTATCTTTTCTCTGTGGTTTTTTAGGCTTTGAGGAAAGACTTTAGTCATCTGAATCTCATTGCAGACAAAGCAACAAGTGGTATGTAGTGAACGGAACACAAGGTATATGTCTCCACTTATGGATGCCGCAAGAACAATGGCACCAGAAGGTCAAGGGAATTCTGTTGGAGCGCAACCACCTACAACACAAAAACGAGCAGGTGGTCACATGGCATCTCAAGGCTCCGCTGCTAAGGTTGGTCTATACTGTTTTAATTTGTTTCAGATTTCGCTGGTGTGATTGTTTATGTGGTAATAATCGTAGATTTTAGAGGGGCAAAACGGAGGGAGTTAAAGTTGTGGTACCTGAAAATGAGGTGAGCGAAGGATTAAAATCGGGCTCTGTGGAGGATTTTATGTTTTTTGATAAGGTTAGTGGTTTTTACCAATAGCTTTTTAAAGTTTATTAATTTCCTTGAAGTTAATGTTAGTTTTTTTTAGGTTCGTAGACTATTTACTGATGACGGAACTTATCAAGCGTTTTTACGCTGTCTAATGCTTTATAACCAAGATATCATATCTAGGACTGAACTCGTTGACCTTGTCACACCTTTGTTAGGGTATTTTTCATGTTCATTAGAATGGGACAGTTGTTTTTTCGCAAGAGTTGGCGTTCAATGAAAAATATTTGAGCTATGTAAAGTATTTTCAAAATTTTAAATTGCAATGTTCTTGCGAGAACGAAGGCTTGATAAATGTTTTTCGGATAAGATTTTTTTTTTTTGGTACTCGTCTTTTAGCTAATGAATTTGTTAAAGGAGAAGGCCAGATCTAATGAAGAGCCTAAAGGACATGTTGGGAATGAACGAGACAGTACAATCTAACCAACCAACTGAGAAATCACAAGTAAAACCAGAAGATCGTGACGGTATCCCCTCGGGAGTCACTTACCAGATAGGTATTATCACTTAATTTTCTCAAATTTTCCTGAAAGGATTTGTCATTATGCGGTTAATTGTTAAGGCATAAAAATTTTATTCATCATCTCTTTACTTTAACTTTTGATATTTTTTAGAGGATTCATGTTTAAATGTATTTTTTTTAGACTTTGCCACATGCAAGCGTCTAGGTGTTAGTTATCGTTCCTTACCTGACTCATTCCCACGCCCACTGTGCAGCGGTAGGACTCCTTTATGTAACTCAGTATTAAATGACACTTGGGTTTCGTTCCCTTCATGGTCTTCTGAAGACACTTCGTGTGTACATTCCAAGAAGACGCAATACGAAGAGTTCATTTACAAGACAGAGGATGAAAGATTTGAGGTATGTTTAATAGTCATACTTATGTAATTTATTAACTAGATTTTGTCTAATATTTGGTAAAGTTGGTTTATTTTAGCTAGACATTATCATAGAAGTGAATAAAGCTGCCTTGGAAAACCTCATATTTTTGGAGAACAAGTTAAAAAATATGTCAAAGGCCGAACTGAGCAAGTTTCGCCTGGATTCCTCCTTAAATAGTTCTTCTCCGTCGCTGATGTACCGCGCCTTGAAGAGGATTTACGGGTACAGTTGATGTTTTTTGAAGGTTTCTGTGCTGCTGTTTTTCTTTTACAGGTCTTTATATTTAGTGATCACGTTCACAAAATGCTCGAAGGAGCTCAGAAGAACCCCACATTGGTGATTCCTCGTTTGATCGAGCGGCTGCGTTTGAAAGACAGCGAGTGGCGGGAAGCTCAGGCTGGTTTTAATCGTGTCTGGCGTGAACAGACGGAAAAGTACTATGCGAAGAGCTTAGATCATCAAGCCTTAACGTTTAAGCAGAACGATCTCAAGCTTTTACGTTCAAAGATGATTATTCATCATTTCGAAACTCTTTATGACGAAGTATCTTTCCTGGATGTTTCTGTAATCGATTAATTAGCTTTATGTTTTTCTGTTTTATTTTTATTTAGTTTCTGTACGTCATGAGCCTATGCAAGTGATCTTTGCCTGAAATTAGAAGGCTTTCAGTTTATAGTGCTGTAATGAAGCAGTTTTTGGGTTGAGTCGGGTCATAAATTTTTTTTAGCGGGAAACTAGGATGGAGGAAGGAGGTGTTCCGGAGTCCGGCCCACATTGTATTCTTGATTATCCTCAGACTGATACTTCAGTTTTTTACGATGTTAATGATCTGATCATACACTATGTTAAAAGACAACAAAGTATCCAGAAGGAGGAAAAGAAACAAGCAAAACGTTTTTTGAAAAGACTCATTCCTGAATTTTTCAATATTCCATCTCAGCCAATGAGTGATGAGGAAGACGATGACGAATCTCATCTATCTGGTATTTTGATTGCTTTTGTGACATGCTAAAAATTTTCTTATATTATTATCTTAAGGTATATGGGGACACGGCTAATTAGCTTTTAATCACTTATTTAAGAAAATTTTAGCTGATCTACCAAATACTAGCCAAGAGGAGACAGTGTCGCCACCTAAAAATCCGTCTGTTGTATGTGAATCGCAGAAGGTATGTACTCGAAAATTTTTTCTGTCATTTTTCGGTTTCTTATGAGTTCTAGGGAAATTTGTCATTGTAATTACTGTTAACCTCTTTCGTACGTTAACTTTGGTTTTTTTACACAGAATCTTCAAAGCTTTTTTCGTACTTTTTTTCCTCTATCGGAACAATAATATTCCACATTTGTTCGTGGGGTTTATGTAAACTTGTTCACATAAGTCAATTTAGAATCGTGGTAAAATTAGAAGACTAGTTAATATTCCCTTTTTTAATGTCCCTAATAGAATGTAGCTCTTTGTTTTACCGATCTGTACAAAAAAAGTTGTTTGCTTGACAGTCTAACGCTTGTCGACCAGTAAAAATTTATCGAATGTTTTGCGATGTTTAAAGCAGCGCAAAGACTAATGCGTTATAGTAAGAAACGGAGAACTTCAGATTTAAAGGGATGGAATGGGTTTGATTTTTTGTGATGAAGTTGAAAAATCGCACAATAGCAAAGTTGTCGATATCTAGGTAAGTGAACGGCGCCATGGTTTGTAATGTGTTAAGGTTTTTTGTTAAAGCCTGGAACTGCAAAAAAAACTTAATATACAACCGCTGTAAAAGGTTAATGGTCTCATACTGTAATGGTTTCTTCAAAAAATCTTTGACTTTCTCATACAAAAATTCTGGAAGAAAGTAAGGGAGATGAGATAGTGTACTTTATTGTTTAAGGCGTATCATTTGAATTTAGCACTTTTTGGAAATCTTTCAGAAATCTTTTGCAGGTTTTTGAGGTACAAAGTTCTTAACTTCAATATCTATGCTGTTTACAATTCATACTTAAGGAAAAGTGAATTTTTATGTCTCAAAATCTAATTTTCTTTGCACTGCCGCTATAAACTGGAGAGGGAAAATATGCAAGGGAAGGAGGGGAAGGGTGAAAAATAAAGTCGTTAGTAGTAGGTTGTGGATTAGTACCTCAGGTTATTGGACTTATTATTCTTTATTGACGATTATTGCTTCATTGTTATAATTTATTGAGACATGCAAATGCTGTTCATTTGCTATTATTATAGCTGAAGTCAAATTTTTTTTTGCATTTTGAGAATTCGTTATTTTTGAGGTTTTATTAGTCGTTTTTCTAGCTTCAAGATGGGTGCAGCTCTGCGTCATTCGAATCTCACGAGCGACTAAAAAGTGGTTTGACATACCGGTTGTTTTATGGAGCAAACACATGGTGTGTTTTTTTGCGGCTGCACCAAATGCTTTGCGATAGGTTTGCTCGTTTGAAAACGAAGAACGCCAATATGATTATGGATTATAAAGTGAGTGGTCGACTTGGTGTAATACTCTCCTGCATTCTGCTCTGCTTCATATTACAACAAACTTATATTATGGTACTTCCAGATTGAGGAAAAAACTCGTTCAATTTCGAATGCAAATAAGCTTGACGACAACAAAGATTCTGAACGTGGTATACACTTGCTTAAAAAAAGTGCTCAGAATCCAGAAAATTTTTATAGAGATTTGATATGTTCAATCAAAAATCTTCTGGATGGACAAGTTGAAGCGGCCGCTTTTGAAGATTCTATAAGGTGGTTTACCACTTGATTTTAGTCTTGGTTAATTGGAGTATTAATTTTTTTCATTAACATTATGAGTCTTCAGAAGCATGTTTGGAACTGATGCATATATAACGTTTACGATGGATAAAATTATTACCACTTTAGGAAGGCAGTTGCAGTGCATGTTTACAGAAGAGGTAAGATTTTAAATCTTCTCTTTGTTTTTCACTGTTATATAACTTTTAAAACATTTTTGCAGCTTAATATGGGAACCCTCGATTTGTACCAAAAATATCGCTTTGAGAAGCCGTTAAACTGTGTTTTGAAAACGAAGAATGAAGCTGAAATAGAGGAAGCATATGAGGCAGCAGCTCAGAAAGTGCGCTTACTGCGCTTACTCTTAAATTTTTCAGCTTGATTTATTTTTTCGTAGAATGAGTTTGGCTTTTTAGCTGTTGGCCAATCATAACTGCTTCAAAACGTTCTTCCTTCACGATAGGCGGAAAGTCACTGTGGAATTGATTGATACTGAGACTATAGATGAAGGAAACGGAGAGAGCGAAAGTAATAGTAAGAAGTGGTCGCAGTATATCAGTTACTACCTGAAAGTATTCTTTTTTCATTGCTTTGTTTTTTAATCCGATACTTGCACAATTTAAGTTTCTTGTTTTCAAATTGATTCATTTGTTTTTCTCATTTTTCTTCATTTTAGTCAGTTGAAGAGGAGCCGTCGTCATCTTTGAGTGCTGAAGAACAGCAACAGTTTTTGGAAAATCTGTCATCAAATAGAGTTTTTCTAATGAGGAATGTACGGTCGGGCATAGAGCATAGCAAGTCAGTATATTTCATTTTGATTACAATAATTTCTCAGTTTTCTTTTGTTTACAATAATTTCTCAATTTTCTGTTATGACCGATATTTAGAACGCCTTAAATGTTTAAAGAACTGGAATACCTTGCATGTGGAACATTAACATAGAAGTTTTTCCAGGAAAAAGGAGGAGGAGATAAGGCGACGAGGTAAATTACGTGGGAAGGGAAGAAACGAAAAAGACAAAGATAACGGGACTTTTCACGTGAAAGAAGATCTTCATGTGCAGTTTTCTCCTGCAGGAAATTATCAAATGCGATTTGTAGAGGGTTCGGCAGAAATATTAATACGCAGTCACGCTCCACGTCGGGGGGCTGCCGTAAGTCGATTTTTATCACCGGTCTTGGTGCGCACCAAGGTATATTCTTCTTGTGAACTTATCTCATTCCGTGTTTAGAAGCATAAGATGGTCGTCGCCAGACGCAAGGAACGTTTTACTTCTTGGTTGGAAGAACGGCTTTGCGAAGAAAGCGGTGAAGCTGGAATGCTGCGGAATTGGCTTACAGAAGGATCGAAAATTATTCCAGTTCGTCACAGAGACTTCCCATACCTCACGTACAACAGGTACATTACTTCTGCTGACCTTCCAACGACGAGTCTCCCCACCAGACCTTAAGTTTACCTCTCTTATGAAGTGATATTTTTTTCCTCCTACGTGTTCCGTCATCTAGTGTACTATTTCCTCTGCTCTCGCATTCCATAAGACCTTCTGCTCATGCCGTGTAAAACTTGTCTTGAGTCGTTAAATGTGACCTAATATGCAGTTCCCTTAACTTTTACTGATCTTTGTCTTCTACAGGTAGGTTTTGCCCCGTACGTTTCCATCGACTCTTATAATTACTACTAAAATTCTATTGTGTACGTCCTGCAGTTAATTCTGTAACATTAGTGGTACCCTTGTACCACAAAAACTTTAATTTACGCAGCGGTATACAAGTAGTTTCTAGTTTTATGTTTGCATGTAGTTGTCTAAGATTATTTGTTTCATTGTTGCGAAACTGTACTTAAATTCTGCACATGTCAAATGCTCCGTTTTGCCTTTACTGCTGAGCAGTGAATAATAATTTGTACAAACGACTTTAACACGAAAGGCAATTTTGCAGATTTGACTCATGCTTGTCCAAGATGGTGTGTTCCATCTTACTTCGAGCTGATGATGAATACTTCATTACTGTCTAGTTGATCTCATGTGGTTTGAGTTCTTACATTCACTAGTTGCCTCATCTCTTACTATGCTGGTAAGTCTAGTTAGAGCACTCTCGTAATGCGAGAGAGATGGTTCCAGCAAGAGCAAATGACTGTGAAGTTTAGGCTGCTGAAATGCTTTACTCAGTAACCAGCACTCCCCACTTGCAAAAGGTGGGTCCTTTAGACACAACAAGTATTTACAAAAATACAACGCCAGCACTTCTGCACAACAAGAGAATGGTTAAAAGTAACAATTTGGACGACGAAATTATGTACATTTATCTGACGATGATGGTGGAGTAAATTTTTCTTAAATGAATAGAAAGTGATTAGCAACAATATGGATAGAACCCGCACAGAAAGAGTCACTGAACGATGCTATAAAAGTTAGAAGCTGGTTTTGTACGAGGCTGGATTTTTTCTACTCCAGTTAAGTCATTCTTACCAAAACCACTGGTGGATTTACTTTGCTTCTTACATGAATTAGGAAGCTGAATGCTACAAACAGTGGCATGTGCATTAAGTTACAGCTCGAGTTCATCGACACAGGATACAGAAGACTCTACGCATGAGTAGAAGGCAGAGTAATTAGAGAAGGCACCAAAATGAAACACTCTACATTCCCTTAAAACATAGACTAAAGGTGAACCTTCAAACTAAGTAGAAAAAAAAAACAATCAAACGTAAACGCACAGTAAAACGTGCTACGCATACATACTCTCTGCCAGAGGCGACATCTTGAGCCCAACATTGACAAACTGTGAGAAGTATTCTGCCAGTTCTGCAACTTCGCCCTCCATCCCTTCATCAGCTGGTGAGTACCGAGTAGCCTCAACTGAGCATGACCCAGAAGTCGACCTTAAAAGACACATTTTTAAAGCATAAATTGGAGTCTTACACTGTTTGTTAACCCTGGATTTCTTCTACCAATGTAAGTTTGAAAGTGAAGTGGTTGGGAGCAACACCGGAACCGACAGCTGCCATACCTCCCAATTGGCCACGACTATGAGGCCTTCTAAAAGCTTTTCATA